GTGCCCTTGAGCAAGGCACCGGACATCCCCCTTCCCCCCTCACTCCCATTGCTCCCCGGGCGCTGTGCAATAGCTGCCCACTGCTCCTAGTACTAGACTCCTGGTATTAGGATGGGTTAAAAGCAGAGAACACATTTCACTGTGTGTGCTGTGTGCTCGGCATGTGTGACCATTAAAGAGGGTTTCATCCCTCCCAATAGATATATAAACTCCAAACTGATTCAGTCAATGCTGCTGGCATGCATGATCAACAGGCAGCAGCATTTCTCAATTAGTTGCAACTGCTGCGCGATAAAACCACCACAACCTCCCACTCCAGGCACAGCTCCCAAAATGTGTTTCTGCAGCAGTGCGGCTGTTTTCAGCTCCGGCTGCAATAAGAGCTCAGATAAATGTGACAAACTGTAGCTACCTTTTATTCTTAAAAGTAAACTCTGCTGTAAATGCTGATAATGGCTCACATTGAAAATCATCCTCTGTTATTCTCATTTTAAGTAACATATTGTTGAGGGTAGAGTATTGAGTTGTATCTCCTTAAGGAGCTCTCCCCTTTCTTTCCCTCCCTTCTACGTGTTTCCCTGGCTGTCTATCTGCTCACTTCATTCCTCAGTATTGTGGATACATTCACTGGATGAGTTCAAGTGACATAAAAAGAGTCTGTATTTGTTGTCCTTATTTACCACATTTCTATTTTTGGAGAAATTCCATAAGGCCTTGTGTCTGTGTTTACTCTTTGCAAAAGCTATAAGCATCTTTGTAAGGACATGAACATCCCTTTGCTGTAAAGACAATATTTTGTTTGGTTTCGTTTTGTGTTTTTCTCTTTTGGTTCCCAACGCTCCTAGCCTGTCAAGTACAAGCGTGTAATTGAGGAATTTGTATCTTTTAAAAGTGACTTTACTTACAATACCCCGCAATACAAGCAGAACATCTGACCTCAAAACTCACACACCTTCTTCCCATCATGAAAGTATGGATGCAAAGGGCCATTGAATTACACGCATCAGTGAAAACAAATCATATGCTGTTCAGAGTGAGTTAACCAAAGGTGAGCGGACATACTGTACATAAATAGTAACATGTGTGTCCACACAGGCGCACAAACAGTTTCATATATATGCGAGCCCTCATACATGGAGACACACATTAAAAAACATGAACCATTTTCTTCATGGGATGGTCACAGCACACTCAATGATCACTGTGAATCCTCTTGTGCGTCACCCAGCATGGCGGGCCATCAGAAACCCTGGAGAGCAAAGACACGCTATCTACTTTTCTGTGCTGCTTGCTGTCACTTTCCTATCTCTTCTCTCCGCTGTTCCTCTCTCTCTCTCTCTCTCTCTCTCTCTCTCTCTCTCTCTCTCTCTCTCTCTCTCTCTCTCTCTCTCTCTCTCTCTCTCTCTCTCTCTTCTCTTTGTATCTCTTTTCCACACACTCACACACACTGTCAGCAGTGTATTGGAGGGTAATTAGTGTCCACCACTCGCTCCCAGGCTCATCCTGTTAAGCACATGCCTGATCAAAGAGCCCCCCACAGGCCACGGCTTTCTGCAGCTTTAGGCTCCTGTAGCCTCGAGAGACAGGGACAGACTCGCTGGTTGCCTTGCTAATTCTAATTCAATGTGGTTATTTAAGGGTGAAATGCATGACTGCTTGACTTGACTTCATCCACGTCAGAACAAAGCCTCATGCCTTTTATAGCAAGTCACAAAAAGATGGGATGGAAAAAAGAACGCTTGGTAAAATGAAGCGCATCTGTCGAGCTGATTTCATGTGATGTTCATCATCAGAGGCGAAGACAGTTCTGTCCACAGTGATTAACAACTCTATTCTGAATCTTGAGACAAGTTAATTGATCCAAGAAAAGACATTTGGTTGGTAGCTAGCAGCCTGGCTCTACAGAAGGGAAATCAGTGTTTTTGTTGATTCCCCACTTTGGCCCATTTCTAAAATGTAAACTACTATGAATTTGCTTTTATTTTTTATTTTACTGCCTTGTATTTTCACACCTAAACTTATAAAGGCTCCATGTGCCACACAAGTTACATCCTTGCATTCAATGCCAAGAGAGTGTGTGTGCTTAAAACCATGTGAGGTGAAAGGGCAAAGGTTATAATTAACTTCCTTTTTAAATTAAGTCTCTTCTTTGGAGGAACAAAGTAGGGAATTAGAGGAGTGACTGCCAACAGAGAAAAAATAATATTGGCTTAATTTTTTCTGGCCTCAGTGAACAAAAGGTCCAATTAATTGACTGATTATAATTGCCCTGGTTTCCCCTCAGCCAATTAGAGGCTTAGACAACTTTATATGAGTGCAGCGAATCGCAGAGTAGCGGGCAGTTTTCAAGGCAGGTACCAAGAGCTGAAATTACACAAGCATCTCAGGAGAGAGGCCTTTTCATTAAGCTTTAAAACTCAACTCCTCTATGTTACTGACCTCAGAAAACTTCTTGAGAGTTTTGAAGCCACTAAAGTATAATGCAAATTCCTAACCGTGGAGAACTAGATCTGACAGGTCATTCATTTTTAGTCAGTTAACTTTTTATATTAATCCTGCCTGTTACTAAAGTAAGATAACAATCCCCAAATTGTTCAGGCTACATTATCTTCATCATGATGGGGAGACTGATCGTGATGGTGAGTTTGTGGAAAGCTATGCAGTGAAAATGTTTGAGGGAATAAACAGGATGAGGGAAAAAGCTGTGCGACCTGATTTCCATTTACCTCTGCGCCTTGATGAATAACTTATGCCTCGGCTGGTATGCACCCTGCAGTGTCTGAACTCCAAATATGAAGTAATAATAATTGCATGTGTAATATATGATACATCAGGTGAGTGAGTATTAGTGCGCTGGCTTCAGCGTTCTGTTCCTTTTTCATTCATGCATGACTAAATATTGTCCGGACTGTGTTAAGTCAGTGTTTTATGTGCACCAGTTGTTGCGATTATGTAAGTGTTGTGGGTGTTTTTGAATTTTAAGCTGTAAAACGAGTCTACCCCTGAGCTGTGTTGGTCCCCTGTGAGGCAGATACAAATGGTTGTTAAAATCAGTAAACTGTAAAAATAAAGTGTGTTCATTGCATTTCTATATCAATGCTATACATGTTTTAGATTCAGACTGCTCTTAAAATAAACTAACAAGGGATACACTTTAATTACATTTTTATTTCCCCAGACCGGGCAAGTGTGATTCTGTAAACATGAGCAAATGAACGAAGTCTGTTAAAATGAGAAACCAGACAGACTGTAATCTGAGTTGTCTGCAAGATATTCATCTATGTGTACTCCCAATGGCAATACATGGACCAACAGCTTTATGACTTCACTGTATGGAAACTTATTATTAAATATTTGTTCCAGTATATAGATTTTTCAAAAAAGTCACATCTTACTGAAAGTCCATTTTTAGAGTGCGTGGGTTTAGTGTCTTATGACAGTGGAAGACATATTACCAATAGCACATTACTCATAGTAAAGTCCAGAAATGCTATCTTCAATCACAGGAAAAACATTGGAGGGTAAGGTTTTGAACCATCTTTTAAAGAGTTAACTGACCTGTGCAGAGAGAAAGTTTCCCATTAAAGGAGCATGTTTTATTTAGTTGTTACAAAGGAAGAAAACATTTTCACTGAATGTGGCTGTGTGTGTCTAAATGGTCTGTGACCCATTTGTGCTTTTGGTAAAACACATTCTCTGCCTTATCTGAGATGGTTCACACAGCTCTGAAAGTGCAGTTTGATGGTTTGGGAATGTGTTGAATAGTGTCATGCTTCCCTTCTTAGATTTGAAAGCTGTGATCTGAGTGGTTGGCCCCGTCTTTAACAAACACACCACTCAGCTGGAAATCCAACAGCATACAGTTAGACAGACGATGTTTGAAGGGCGGACATGGAAATGCCAAACTTACCAGTCACTCAGAAAGAATAAATACCTAACAGAGAAAGGAGGCTATTCAAGAATTATAATCAACAAAGAGGAACATGAAAGATTGGACGAACACAGAGAAAATGAAAGGAAGATAAAATACCTTATATGATAACATACTGAATAGAGTTGGTGTTGCTGATTTTATGCTGGTGGAGGGTGAGAGCGCGTGCTGTCCCAAGTGAGGAAACGTTTTCTGCTCGGACAGGCGTGGGTCAATGTGCCATCTCAGGCACCAGTGTTACTAGTGGCAGTGTTCCACACATGACCTTCAGAACTGCCTTATCAAGCCTCCAAACCACTTCTTCAGACACACTCAAGCCATTGGCACACCTTTTCGTTTAGCTATAAGTAACTCGTGTTTGGAGATTTTGTAAAAGCTTGCAGGCTTTGTTTTTCTTCTGCAAACAGGCAGTAAAAACACCTCTCAAAATACCCTTTGAATCACAGCCCTTACTCCATCCAGAACAAATAGGTATTGATTAAACAGTTAAAGGGTTGTTTCATCTAAATCAAACTTAAATATTTGTTCCATTTCCCCACAACCCTAGGTATCTAGATGCAGCTTCATACAGTATGCCTAGGACCTCCACTACCACTGTGTTGTTGCTTAGTGTGTCTGCGGTAGCTACAAAGTGATATGAACAGGGCAAAAAGTTAAAAACACATCTTTACGTCCGTTAACAAAATATCTAGAATTGCACAAAATATTTTATAAATTATTTATATGTAAGCAAGTGCGTATAAAGTGTATGAACAAACTGACCTTAACATCACTTAGAAACATTGATTTTTCAAATATCACTAAATACGCCTTTAAATTAAACATCTTATTGAAAGAAGTCTGTACCTTTTTTAATATGCTGTAATTGAGTACAGTCTGAGATATTTTGTAGTTAGCATCTGGTGCCATAAGAGAACTAAAACTTAAGTAACTTCTGCATTTGATTGATGAACCCCGTTAAAATGTTTCCCTTTTGTCATTGTCTCTAAACATCCAAGGTATGTAGGGGTTTCAAAATCAAAGCCATATATTTAGTGGTTTAACTCTGTTTTCTCATTTCTTTCATTAGGCTGTTTTTCATCTAAGGGGGAGGACAGATTATTTCGGAGATTGTTCAGGAGGTACAACCAGTTCATCCGACCAGTGGAGAATGTATCTGATCCAGTCACCGTGGAGTTTGAGGTCTCCATGTCCCAGCTGGTCAAAGTGGTGAGAGTAGAGAATAAACTCATTGTTTCTTATTTTAAAAAATTCAAATGTTCTCTTGTTACCAATTCTCCCTTTATGTCTTTACAGGATGAGGTGAATCAGATTATGGAGACCAATCTGTGGCTGAGACATGTGAGTAATATTTATCCTTTGTGTGACATCATTACTGATATATTACATGAGTTTTTTACTCATGCTACATTGTGTTGGTCATTAAGGTCTGGAACGACTACAAGCTGAAATGGGCCCCTATTGAGTACGATGGGATTGAGTTCATACGAGTTCCATCCAATAAAATTTGGAGGCCAGATATTGTTTTGTATAACAAGTAAGTTGAGTGCACAAATACACACATAAAAGAAGTTGTCTTTTTTTGTACATGCTATTTGTATTTATCCATGCTCTACATCTTCTGACCTTTTCTGTTACAGTAAATGTTGTAATGGCCTCTAAGTGAAATGACATTTACATCTCTCAAAGTGCTGTAGGTGACTTTCTTGTGGAAGACAAGACCAAGGCTCTGCTGAAGTTTGATGGCACCATCACCTGGGTTCCTCCAGCTATTTTTAAATCCTCCTGCCCCATGGACATCACCTACTTCCCCTTTGACTACCAGAACTGCTCCATGAAGTTTGGCTCCTGGACATACGACAAGGCCAAGATCGACCTGGTGCTGATTGGCTCAAAGGTTAGTGACAGGGGACAGATCAGGGCCATTTATGTTCTACATGGCATGTTTATAACACAATACGCTTTGTTTTTGTGAGGACTCAAAGACATTAAAAGGTAGGTTTCAGTACTGAGTCACACCTACGCTTTTATCTGCTCATATGATCTAGTCATTCTAGTGAGACAAATTGGGAACAACTTCTATCAAATTCCTTCACTTTAATACCAAAATATATTAACCAGTTAAGCCCCATGCCCCGGTACTGGGGGCATGACGTAACATCTTGCAAGAAACAGCGTCTGAGGGCTGCTTAACATTTAATAAACTATGAATGTGTCATACACATTAACGGGAAGAAACTCAGCTATCAGACAATATTAACCATTTTTAGCAAAATGAAACATAAGGGTAATAACAAAGGCTCTGAATTAGCCCTGAGCTAAATGTTAATGCAGTTAGCACAGAACTCAAGGTAAAATACCCTTATTACTGATCGGATCTGCACAAACACGATGTCGATTAGCGAGCTGAGATTCCACAAATTCCAGACATATAAGTATCATCACTGAGCGATCAGAACTTGCGACAGGGGAAGCAAAAACAGACATCACAACACGTAGCTTCACGGAGGAAACACGGAGATATTCTTACCTTAGCTGTTGTTCTGATCAAAAGTTGTGTTCAATGGCATCAAAACGATAAAAACGCTGCTGAAGGTTAATCCAATGGTTAATCCAATGTGTCTGTGTCACTTTGAAATGATTACTGATAATCCATCTTCATATTTACTAGTTTGAGCCTAGGTTTCAGTTTTCAGTTTTCAGAGCGTAACATAGCTTTCGACTGCGTGCGCGTCACACTCACTCCTCAATGGTAATGTGTGTGTGTATGTGGAACTTCCCCTTCGATTATATTGGCTGTAACGGATCAAAAGAGATGTCAATGACCAAAATTGACCAATGGGTTCCAGAGAAACGGCAAATCCACCCAAATGACCCCAAAGGTGGGTTCTTTTTTGCTAAATCTCTCTATAAAGGTCAAATGTAACTTGTTTTTGCATCAATCTTGATACAGGGTACTTATTATATGTTATAGTGTTTGGATTCCTAAAGCTTTTAGTCTACTATCCCATCATTTAAGGGTGGTTTTCACTATAAGTAATGTTTTTCTTTTGGACGGACACTATAATTTACATTTTGTTACTATGTTCAATCTGAATTTACTTTAAAATAAAAATATTCTATATTGATTCTGACTTTTCTACATCCAACTCACAGGTTTGTCATTGCTTTGAGAAAAAAGATGATTAATTTAACCCTTTTAGAAGAGAAGATATGGTCATTTGTTCTGGAAATGTCATTTTCGAGCCTGAGGCCTGAAAAACAGGCTCGGGGCTTAACTGGTTTTAAGAGAGATGTTACCATTTCTAGACCCCTTTTGAATATTTGTGCTATCCACTTCTTGTGTCTTTTTAAACTGAGTTCTTGTAGTCTTGAAAAAACAAAACATTTTGTTTTTAAAATGTAGTTTTCCTCCAAATAACTGCCATTCACATCCCATTTGCATTTCCTCAGGTCAACTTGAAAGACTTCTGGGAAAGTGGAGAGTGGGAGATCATCGACGCTCCGGGATACAAGCATGACATCAAGTACAACTGCTGCGAGGAGATCTACCCGGACATCACCTACTCCTTCTACATCCGCCGCCTGCCTCTCTTCTACACCATCAACCTGATCATCCCCTGCCTCCTCATCTCCTTCCTCACGGTGCTGGTCTTCTACCTCCCGTCTGACTGCGGCGAGAAGGTCACCCTCTGCATCTCCGTCCTCCTCTCCCTCACTGTGTTCCTGCTCGTCATCACCGAGACCATCCCTTCCACGTCCCTCGTCATCCCTCTGATCGGCGAGTACCTCCTCTTCACCATGATTTTTGTCACGCTCAGCATCGTCATCACTGTCTTTGTGCTGAACGTCCACTACCGCACCCCCATGACTCACACGATGCCGGACTGGGTGAGGTCCGTGTTCCTTGGGGTGTTGCCCAGGGTGATGCTGATGAGGAGGCCAATCGACCAGGGCTGCTCCACCACTGCCAATATTGCGGTAACAGGAGGAGGAAGGAAGAAGAGAAAGACCAGCATAGGAAGTGGTTCAGGAAGTGTTATTATTGGCGGTATAACTGGGGGTGTAGCGTTTCCACCCACAGATGTTGGGGCAGGAGGCGGGGCTGCATCAGCGAGTGCTTCAATGAACTGTGTGGAGTATGGCGAGGTTAACCGAGACAAGAACCGGGACATTAACAGGCGATGTCCCTACAGAGGCAAGGAGGTACCGACTCCTGTCCCTCCCCCGATGGTGTCGCCACCTCCTCCCCCTCCTCCTCCTCCACCTCCCCCGTCCTCACAGGTGACCCCGACCCAGGCGCCCAAGGAGTCGGAGATACCCAAGGTGCAGAGGCCAGTGAAAGCCCCTTCACCTATCAGCGCTGTCGTTGCCTTCTCCGTTGTGTCGCCAGAGATCAAGCAGGCCATAGAGAGCGTGAAGTACATCGCAGAGAACATGAGGACTCGCAACAAAGCCAAAGAGGTACGAACGCAAGCTTGAGTTTACGGTGTTGAGTATGACTAATATGTTGCGACAGAGGTCTAATAACCTTGATCAAATGTATCTACAAAAGCATTAAAATATACTGATTGTGTGAATGATACATCTGTAGATTGGTAGTGTTTGCAAGGGACTGTGTGAATATGTGGTGGTGTGTGGGGTATATATTTAAGATAAACAATTCAGAACAAGGAAGGTGTGGTGCAGAGTATGTATTCACCCAGAGCCTAGAGGCCTAGATGAGTTTTTTCCCAACATTGGGGAAAGCACACATTTAGTCCCCAGAATGTACAATACACACACATATAAACATAATGATAACAGAGCTTTACTGTGTATGTGTTATCTCTGCAGCATGTGTATTTCTATAGCTAAAGGAAAGAGTGTAGAAAAGCATTTCCCTGTGCTATAAAGGGAGTGTAAAGCGGCTTGTTTGTTGCAGATGGATGGCTTTGCGTACGCTTCCTGCACACTCTGCATGGCCCTGATATGTTTGTTGCTTCAGCTCCATCTTTTCTTAGCAAAGCTGGGATCTTTCTTTTATGCATGCTGAATAGCCTCCTCTATAGGACACAATGGCATTATGGTCAGGGCAGCCATCATCCTATTGTCCACACCTGGCTGATCAAAGAATACACACACACACACACACACACACACACACACACACACACACACACACACACACACACACACACACACACACACACACACACACACACACACACACACATCTGTAGTGTTGATACAGTGACATCACAGCATGGCAGAGCACGATTAAAAAGATAATAGAAATCATATTAGCCTCAAAACACAACTCTTTTTACATATTCCATGACCAAAAAGGAGGAGGGAGAATAACTCAATCTTATTTTACCCTTACCCAAAACAAATAGACAATGGAGAAAGATGTTTGACAGACATTTCATAATTACAATCAAGCAGATTTTTCAGAAGCATAGTGGAATTCCATAAGGGTTTGTGTGATTTGTGATATTTTGTACTTTTTCTACTTACTTGCCAACATATTTGTTTCCTTATTCTCCTCAGGTGGAGGACGACTGGAAGTACGTCGCCATGGTCATCGACAGGATCTTCCTGTGGGTTTTTGTGACAGTGTGTATTTTGGGAACAGTGGGACTCTTCCTCCAGCCGCTCATCAGCTTCTTTCAATGAGACACTCGTCTTTGCCCCTTTTCTCTCTCTCTCTCTCTCCCTCTCTTTTTGTCTACTTCAGTCTGTCTCTGTGCCCCACTTGAAATACTTTGGGAATAATCCCTCCTGCAGCTCTTTCAAATCAAACTGTCTTCTTTTTCATTTTGCGGCGTTTTGTCTCTCCATGCTTTCCTCTGGGAGTCCAAAATCAGCCATCACTTCTAGCTCTCAGCTGTTTCCTCACATGACTTACCCTGATTTCCCATTACATCTTTGTCTTGCCCTCTCAATGGGCCGGCAATGCTGTTATTCAGTCTCTTCTCCACAGTTTTTTTTCTGACATGATTATCACATCTGCGCACCTCTCAGATTTTCTCCTCTTCGGTGCCATCATTTTGACCTGCAACTGCCTGCAGCTTATTTCTTCACCGTAGTCTCCTGTCTCCACTTTCGTCCAATCTTCTATGCATTTCCATTGTGTGTATTTGACTGAGATTTCCACTCAGTCATTGTTATTGTACAGTATTATACAGTATGTTTAACAATGTCAGGTCTTTTTTTCAACTTTTTATTTTAGTTTTTTATAAACAAACAGCCAGACAGACAGCACAATAGCAGTTGGCAAACAAATTAGGATGACAACAATGTGGTTCGAGTCCGACAGGATAAAAAACAAAGACAAAATAAAACAAAAAATAAATGAAACAAAACCAAAAATGGACTGCGACTGGACAAAAATCAACAACAAAAAAAACGAAATCTAAAGGCTCTGAGTCTAAGTCCATTATTAATAACATAATGCAAAAGTAGAGATCAAACAATGTGTATAAATGGAACAAAAAGACCAAATATATAAAAAATAAATAAAAAACATAGCACTTGTTGGTCAGTCAGCCACCCACTAATCACAGTTTAACACCGCAGGTCCACCACCCTATTGTACAGAGACATCCGGCATGTCCAGCTCCCGTATTGTAGAAGGGGTTACACATCTTGTGGAATTTCCCCAGGGAGCCCCTCAGTATGCACCTTATTTTCTCGAGTTTGGCTGAATTTAGGACTTCTTTTAACCACAAGGTGTGTGAAGGGGATGTTGGAGACTTCCACATGAGCAATATCAGGCGTCTGGCTAGTAAGGTAACAAAGGCTATGTAGGCTGTCTCCAGAGAAGAGAGTGGCCATGTTGGTGGGTTACATCAAACAGTGCGGTCATGGCATTAGGAGCAATCGGTTTTCCAGTGATTTCTGACAGTGATCTAAAGATGTCAGTCCAATAAGAGTGTAAGACCGGACAAGACCAGAACATGTGTGCGTGACTCGCCGGTGCTTGGCTACATCTGTCACAAGTTGGGTCCACCTCCTTATATATTTTAGAGAGCCTGAGTTTAGTAAAGCGTGTGCGATGCACTACTTTGCACTGAATCAGTCCATGTCTAGCACAAATAGAAGATTTATGTACATTAGCAAGGGTTTTTTCCCAAAGTTCTTCAGAAATCTCCTCCCCAAAATCTATTTCCCAAAGAGATTTAATGGAGTTCAGGGTAACCAAACGAAGAGAGTAAATCTGAGCGTAAATACACGTCATCATTCCCTTCACAGTAGGTAACGGCCTAAGGAGTGTGTTTAGCGGCGAATCAGTTAGGAATTAGGATTAGGAAACTAAGGAAATCTATTATTAACAAAACTGCGAATCTGTAGATACCTGAAGAAATGTTGCCTAGGTAGTGCACATTTATCAGATAGCTGTTGGAAAGAGGCATGTGTTGTGAATTAGTGTTAATTTCGTTGACTAAAACAATGACGAAATATGTTCGTCAACGACCTTTTTTTCCATGACTAAAACGAGACGATGACGAGACGGCACCGACGGCAGTAAACATTAACTGTAACGAAATCAACATGCAATATCGTTGACGAAAAGTGACAAGACGAAAATGTAGTTTACTAAATAAAAACTATGCCAAAATCTCTCTTTACTTTCGTTGACGAAAAATGAGGAGACGAAATATTATCAAAGATAACGTTACATCTCTGATAGTCAGTTTTTCTTCCAGCAGTTCCATTTCCGGTGCTGCGGCAGGGCAGCAGCTGTGTGTCTGTGCTGCTTAACCGAATACCCCCCCCCCCCCCCCCGTCAGCGCGAGTGAGACAGACTCGACGGGTAATAATGGATTATGACGGAAATGTTAAGATCCTGTCCGTCAAAATGATTGACAACGAAAAAGTCTAAGGCGACCACTGCTTGGGAGAAATAAACTATTTGATATTTGGACCCATTTTCGCTACAATGAGGCGGAGAAAAAAAGCGAATGCATTGTTTTATCAGAAGGGAAGCAATGTGGCCATAACACAGCTGGTAAAAACACCACAAACCTGACCAGATACTCTCTGCAAAGCTTCTTAATCATTCAACCTGTGTTTTTCATCAAGTAAGGACAAGATATCATCTTATTTATGCTAAAATTACAAATTATTGGTTTTGGCTGACTAGTTTGTAGTTTGACTGAAATGTTCTACAATCTGATGACTACAAAAGTTTTCTTTGACAAAAAGTAGACTAAAATAATTAGTTTTCTTTGACTAAAATAAGACTAAAATGCTCAGACTTTTAGTCGACTAAAACTTGACTAAACAAAAACAGGATGAAGGTGACTAAATATGACTAAAACTAAAAAGGAAATTTAACACAGGACTAAGACTAAAACTAAATTTAAAAATAGCTCACGAAATTAACACTATTGTGAATATATGGGTCTTTGAATGTGTCAGGTCTTAATGAAATACAATGTTATTATAATTGCTTTAGAATAACCTATACACACACACACATCACTGAGAAAGAAGAACCTGAATACCTTTGTGAGTTTCGCAGTAGGATTTTAAGATGTGCATTAATGACGAGACACTTATGAGAAATGTGGTACAATATGTCTATAATTAAAGTTAAAGACAAATCCTGATAGCGGTAATAATATGTTGTGATATGAAGGTCATTCGATGGCTGGCACTTTTTCTTCAGGATTTTCTTTTTCTGTTGTCTTCTGTGTTTTCCTGTAAATACATTTGTAAAATACAAAGGAGTTATGCATGGCTCCTGAGAAGGATGCTGGCTGTAGAAACTGTTTGTTTTATCCACATGTGCTCACACCAAGTATAATAATGCATCACACATTAATTCACACCTTCACTGCAATCTGTATAGAAACACATTGAACTGCACAATGTAGATTAAACTTGTCAAAATATATAAAAATCCAAACTGTCTTATGTTATTTAATAATAAAGAAGGTCCTGGAATCAAGTCTTCCTGTATCCTTGAGTGTTTCATCTGTTGCTTAAGATTCCTATTGTACTACTGAGATTGGTCCTATCACCAGTAACATAGTGAGACGGTACAAAAAGCAAATGGATGGATTTGGACACGAAAGGATGATATGTATACAAAACATTTCTTTAAATAATTCTAAGCCAATGTATTTAAAATCAATCAGATTTTAAATTAGTTCACCAACAGCTTTAAACACAAATATTTGTATAAATCTGAACTTTTGTGTAGCGGTTGCTACACTTGCAAAGCAGTAGCAGTACAGACTTTCATTGTTGACTTCTTTCACTTTTTGAAGTGTCGGTTTTAGCAGCATAGTCAAAGATCTGTCAGTGGCAGATGGATGATACTGGTGTCTTTTGACTCATTATATAACAATATAATTTATATATAACAAACAATTACAAAACACAAAGATTGCGTATACATCTTTGTGTTGTTAAGTGGAAGTAAAAAAAAAAAATCAATGTCCAGTACAAATGAAAGAGAAAAACTTTGAATTGGAATTTTCTCAGAGAAAAGATGTGTGAAGAACTGTATGACTAATTGCTCACTCACTCACACAATGCATCTTTAAAGCAAGACATTTCAACACCAGCTCCTGCACCTGGCTCTCACAATTACAGATCATTCTTGTAGCGGGTGAATGGCTTTGTAATAGACGTAACTCAATGAGTCTGTTGCCGCTGGTCCCTGAGGAAGACAAAGACAGCAGGACCAAAGCATTAGATACGGGAGGCGTGCACAGGAGAGAAAATAGATGGTCTTGGTTACTTTATTTCAGAAAGAAATTGCATCTGTTCTATGTAAGTAATGAATATGTTTTATTTTATCTAATTAAATGTAATGATCTTTAAATATATAATGATGTTTTCTTATAGTTACGATCACTTTCTTAGCTTACTTCTTAGCAACCACTTACTGTTTGATATGTTTTACAACTATTATGTAAGAAAACAATTGCAATTATTTTTAATAATCATGCAGCAGGTTTAGTGTAACTGTAGACTTTGATGTGTACTTTAAAGAAAGAGCTCGGACACACAGTCACAAATACTGGTGCACGATTGGTGAAGTGGCCAAAGCTGCGTCTCTAAAGCAAAAGCACAGCAAAGCATTTTTCCTTTGAAGCTCCTCTCTTTTCTGACTTATCCTTCTTTCCCTGTATCAAAGGTCACGGGTGAGACTGAATGTGCCTGTCAGCACTGTCACACACACACACACACACACACACACACACACACACACACACACACACACACACACACACACACACACACACACACACAGTCCTTTACTCTCCGGCCAAATTGGCCCTGTGGCTCCCAGCAGCCCCTCACACCTAATCCTTGTAGAAAGTACTGAATGAGCATTTTCACATTTATGTTTGTGTGTGTGGTAAAGAGGAAGAGGAAGATTACACGTGTCACCTGAGGAGGTGAGAATGAGAAACAGAGCGAGAGAGTGGGATGTTGACAGTGTGCACTCAGCAGCATGGATCTTGCTATGCGGATTATGGCATGGATATAGTCTAGTTATAAATATGGAGATGCAGCAGCTGTACAGCATGGTATCCCATCAGTCTCAGTCTGCCACCTGACAGGGTCACATCAGCGCCTGGCTGACACAGAATGAAGAGATCAGCCAGAGAAGCAGCTTCTCCAGCTATATTTGGACAACATTTGAGTGATGCAAGCAATTTTCCTCGACGGCTCTCCACCAACGTATACCCTATCACACTATCAACAGGAAATGAACTGGTAAACAAGCCAACTCTCCCAATCCTCCAACAAACAGTGTACAAAGACATTAATGGATGCCACTTGTAATATTATGAGGAAGAAACACCAATCAGTTACAACTAGAAAGCCTCAGCCACTTAAATCGGTATTTGTAATGTTGTGAGTTTGCCACAGCTGTATATCTTTCTTGAATGATTGAACTTCAAGTACATGGGGCGGTTGGACCGAAGCAGGGCACAGCAAAGCTTTGGGTACTAAATTGAGGGATAATACATTATTGAGCCAGCCACATATATGAATATTTTAAACGATTCTTCACTGTTGACACCGACTGCTAGCATCAAGCTCCTGGATAGCACGACTCAAGAATGACCGACTTATCGCAGCACGTGTGAGTGTCGGATCTAATTTCAGTTGCTCTTTGGGATCATACTTTTGATAAACATATGATGTTATATGCTTGAGTTGTTTTACAAATTGTTGGCAATTTTGTATACACCTTGGGTATTACATTAAAAACCTTGTACTTTCCCCTCTCTCTTCAGACATGTCCGTTTCACTCTTTCTACAGTTGTTAGGGATCCTATCTCCCAAAAAGCAAATCTGCAATATGAAGAATTCCGCAGTGGAACACGGGAGCATGCTGGGATATGTTAGGGTGGGGTTGAAGGGTAACATAGGGGCATATCACATAGGGGTGGGTGGTGACCATAGTCTCTTATGTCGTCAGGAGCAGAACTTTACGTGCCGGCGGCCAGTCGACCGTGGATAAGTAAAAGAGACTCTCCTCTAAATAATTCATTCCAATGGGAGCCTTCTGAGCACAATCACACACACACACACACATGCACACACGCACACACACACACACACACACACACACACACACACACATACCATGTATACATCACTTCAGGGGACATTACATTGACTTACATGCATTTCCTGGAGACTTATCCTAACCTTAACCATAACCAACACATGCCTAACCCTAACCCTTACCCTAACCCTAATCCTAACCAAGTCTTCACCCTAAAATGAATGATTCCCCTCATGGGGACCTCCAATTTGTCCCCATAAGGGAAGCCAGTCCCCACACGTGACTGTGTAAACAGATTTAGGTCCCCACAAGTATAGTAATGCTAGGCCACACACACACACACACACACACACACACACACACACACACACACACACACACACACACACACACACACACACACACACACACACACACACACACACACTCGCAGGGTCCTTCACGTAAATGGTTGCTTCTTGAAGTGACTGCAACCCACACTCACACAGAAAGAGCAGGCTTCTAATTTTACTCTATGATGAATATTTATAGTCAGATGAAGAAACATTGTCTTAAAAAAAGAAAGAGCATTTTAGTGGAACAACAGCAAATGCTTCTGGCCCTTTGTCTGGGTATGAGAGCGAAACACTTTTAGAGAAATACCTTGATAAATAAAGGAGCAATATGAATTACTTGCTGCATGTTGATGTATCTTTCAGTATCTCTTGCCATCTTTGTGTGACCTGTGCCGTTTGAACAGGAGAGGTGGGCAGCAGGGCACAGGAAAAGAAATGCATAATCATAAAAACATTGCCCCTCTGTATCACTCTAAAATATCAGTGGGCCAGAAATATTGTAGTTTAACATTTTACGAAATAGGCTTGTTAGGTTTTTTTCTCTGTACAATAAATTCATACCATCTGCTGAATAACTAGAGAGACATTTGATTTTGTGTGGGTGTGTGTGTGTGTGTGTGTGTGTGTGTGGTGTGTGTGTGTGTGTGTGTGTGTGTGTGTGTGTGTGTGGTGTGT